GAACAAATTGTGATATATGAATGTAGTGGAATACTATTGTTCCATAAGAAATGATGAGCAGGCAGACTTCAGAAAAAGTCTGCTGCTTTCTGTACCGATACCTTCTGTACCCAATAATACCCGTGTTCCTTCCAGGGTTTGAAAAAATGACTCAAAAGTATTGCCAGTATACTCTGGGTGTGGAATTAGGCTTGTCTTGTTTGCCTCTCCCACTTAAGCTGGTGATTTTGTATACTCACTATTCAGAGCACTGGCTCTGTGTCAAGAAGCTTGACCACAGGCAGGTCATATAATATCTCAGCACCTTTTTGTTGTTATTGTTTGTTCTTTATTCTCCAAGAGGACCAATGATACCACGTGATATCTTGACTTTCCAATGAATTAGATTGGAAAGACTTGAATGAACTGATGCTGAGTGAAGTGAACAGAATCAGGAAAACATTGTACACAGTAACAGCCATAATGTGGGATAACTAACTTTGATAGACTTATCTCTTGTCAGCAATGCAAGGATCTAAGACAACTCCTAAAGACTCATGATGGAAAATACTAACCACATCCAGAAAAAGAACTATGGAGTCTGAATGCAGATGGAAGCATATTATTTGCTCTCTCTTTTTTTTTTTTGTTTCTTCTTTCTCATGGTTTCTCCCATTGGTTCTAATTCTTCTTTACAACATGACTAATGTGAAAATAAGTTTACTATGAATGTATATGTAAAGCCTATATCAAATTGCACACCATTTTGGGTGGGGAGGGGAGAGATGGGGAGAAAATTTGGAACTCAAAATCTTATGGAAGTAAATGCTGAAAACTAAAAATAAATAAATAAATTTTTAAAAAATGACTTTGAGTAACTAAGTCATTTTGACTATTATAAATACCCAAATTAAAAATAAATGAAGAGAGACACGATAGGCATCCAGAGAAAGAACTGATAAATAGAAGTATGTATAGAATAATTTTACATATATATAACTATGTCTAGTGGTAGTCATCTCTAGGGTGGGGTGGGGGAGGGGGAGGGAAGAAAAAAGGAAAAAATAAATTTGCATTATAACCTTATTACATATTTAAAAGAATAGCAAGTTGCAGGGGGCAGCTAGGTGGTACAGTGAATAGAGCACCAGCCCTGGATTCAGGAGGACCTGAGTTCAAATCTGGCCTCATATATATAACACTAGCTGTGTGACCCTGGGCAAGTCACTTAACCTCATTGCCTAGCCAAAAATAAATAAATAAAAAAGTCCTTTTAAAAAAAGGTGGGGGGGGCAGCTAGGTGGCACAGTGGATACAGCACTGGCCCTGGATTCAGGAGGACCTGAGCTCAAATCGGGCCTCAGACACATAACACTTACTAGCTGTGTGACCCTGGGCAAGTCACTTAACCCCATTGCCTACCCAAAAAAAATCAAAAAAAAAAAAGAATAGCAAGTTACACATAATAGATTTGCCGTTTCATGTGCAATCATCTTTTTTTTATTATACTTTGTTATGGAAATGCTTTATTCCATAAATTAAAAATTAAATAAATTTTAAAAGAAACATTAAATATTTACACAAGTTAATTCTTTTTAAAAAAGCAGATTCTGAAGGCTCAAAGTCAGGAAGATTTGAATATGTGTATTATCTATTAGGATGTGAGGGGCTTTTTTGATGGTTGCTACATGGGTAAGCTTCACCATGACATAATGGTCTATTTTTGGTTATGTTCCTTCTGCTTGAGCTAGGAAAAAGGGGAACCCATGTTGCATTAAATCATCTCCCTGGTTCATAACGATATTTTACATCTTCCTTTTGGAGATCTGTGGCCTTGGGCTTAATTTTATTCCAAAATTTCTCTTCAATCATCAGCCCCCGTAAGGCAAATCATGTAAGCTTGCCACTGTTATTTGGAGAACATACAAAAGACAGCAGGAACACAAGTTTATTCTACTTGGTTAACTTGGACTTCTGGGAAGGAATGGGATGATGTAGAAGGCATGGATGTGGTGTGGCCACAATTACATATCTCTCCTTTCTCTCCCCTCACTATAGTTCAGGGCCTCAAAGTCTTTCCTAGGCTATAATAGCTCCAAACTGGCTTCCCTGCCTCAAGTCTCTCCTCATCCAAACCAACCTCCACACATCTGACAAAGTCACTCGAAAAACTAGAGTTACTCTCTTATTTTCTCCAAGATCATCAGCATAACAGTAATGGATGGTATTTACATAACTCTTTAAGGTTTGCAAAGCACTTAACCATTTGTTACCTCATTTGTTCGGCATTTAAAGTTTTTCACAATGGGACCTTTTCCAGTCTTCTCACTTTATTTCCCTCCACATTCCTACAATCCACCAAGTCACCCCAGTCAGTGGAACCTTTCCTCTGAGATTACCTTCCTTCTAATCTATACCTATTTATTTTATCTCCCCCATTAGTATGTAAGCTTCTTGAGGACAGGCAGTTTGTGGTTTTTTTACCCTTCTTTGTGTCCTTAGCACCTAAGGGCTTACTAAATGCTTATTTCATTGATATTGGAGGTTGAACTGAGTGATTTCTAAGGTCTAAATTCATGAACCTACAAAGAAAGTTAGAAATAGACGGAAATAAAGATTATCTAGAAAAATCCTCTTGTGTTGTTGTTGTTCAGTTGTTTTTCAGTCCTGCATGACTCTTTATGGCTGCATTTGGGGTTTTCTTGGCAAAGATACTAGTTTGCCATTCTCTTCTCCAGTTCATTTTACAGATGAGGAAACTGAGGCAAACAGATGAAGTGACTTGCCCAGGGCCACACAGCTAGTGTCTGAAGCCAAATTTGAATTCAGGTCTTCCTGACTTCAAGCCCGGTACTCTATCCACTGTGCCACCTAGCTTTTAATGCCTCACTTAAATCTAATTCATTGGAAAGTCAAGACATCACATGATGTCATTGGTCCTCTTGGAGAATAAAGAACAAATAATAACAACAAAAAGGTGCTGAGATACTATATGATTTGCCTGTGGTCGCAGAGCCAGTGCTCTGAACAATGAGGGTACAAATTCACTAGCTTCAGCTGGTGAGGCAAACAAGACAAGCTTAATTCCACACCCACAGTATACTGGCAATACTTCTGAGTCATTTTTTCAAACCCCGGAAGGAATACGGGTATTATTGGGTACAGAAGGTATCGGTACAGAAAGCAACAAGAAACAGAGATCAGCCAGTCAAGTGGCATTTATTAAGTTCCTACTATGTGCCCAGCCCTGTGCTAAGAGCTGGAGATACAAAGAAAGGAAAAAAAAAACAACAAACCAGTACCTGTGAAACAGCACAGTGGATAGGAGCTCATAGTCCAATGAGCAGAAGAAGGTGGGGCAGGATAGCAGGCAAAGGAAAAAGTTAAGAGGTGAATGGTGAAGGTAGCTGGCACTAAAGGAAGCATTGATTTGGCCCAAGAAATGGGGTGTGAAAACCATGTGAGGAAGTATATTCAGTCTCTAAAAGGGGCTGGCTGGGCATAACTTGCTTCTGTTCCAAACATTCCAAGTTTTGGTCTGGCTTTATTTCTGACAGTGGACTTGGTGCCAGCTGTACTGAGAATACAGAGTAGCTATGTGTGCAGTGGATAGAGTGCCCGGAGCCAGGAAAACTCATCTTCCTGAGTTCAAATCTGGCCTCAGATACTTACTAGCTCTGTGACCCTGGGCAAGTCATTTCACCCTTCATCTGTTAAATGAGCTGGAGAAGAAAATGGCAAACTACTCCAGTATCTTTGCCAAGAAAACCCCAAATGGGATCATGAAGAGTTGGACACAACTGAACAATAACAAAACAAAAAATGTACTGGGAGTATAGTTTTTTATCTCTCTTCCTTGAAGAACATGGTACACATCTGGAATCCAGACAACTAAAGGGAAGAGCAAAAGAGCCCCCCTACAATTGCAATGTGGTTGGACAATGGTATCTAGGATTCAGAAGGCCTATCTTTTCTAGAAATCTACTTTTCAAATGCCCAAATTCTTCCAGCATCTTACTAAAGGACAGATGACAAAATCCCTGTCTCACAAATGAGAAAACTATGGGAACAGAGAAGCTGAAGTTAATTCAGGTTCATCCAACAAAAAAAAATTCAATTCTCTTCCTAACAAACTTGTCAGTGGACTTTGGATTGGAGCAATGATTTCATAGGTATAGAGACATCCTTAAAAGTAAACTGCCTTTACCAATTCAGATCAACACTTGCTCTTCTAATCTCATAGAGTTGTCTGGGGTGCTGAGGTTAAGTGACTTGAACACAGCCAATATGTGGCAGAAAAGGTGGGACTCTGAGGCCAACTTTCTCCACTACACCACCTGCCTCCCTCAAATGGACATAAGAAACTCAAATACCCATCACTATTAACATTTCTGGAATCCTTGGGCATAAGGATCCAGGTTTTCCTTGGAGCAAATCTAATAAGTATGACTAATGTTTAATGGGCAGAAGACTGCTGGTTTCACCTTGGCTATGTTACAAGCTTTAAGCTCTCCCTAGGACATTCAGGCTTTGATCACTCTATCGGCTCCAGGCCCAAATTTCTCTGTAGGCCAATATTCTTTCTACTAAGTAAACATTTACCATTTAGAGAAAGCCAGAGAGCATCCTTGAACTGAAGGATCTTGGGATGTAGGGTAGAGGGGAAACACAGACTAGGACCAGGGACCTGAGGGATGGCCACAATATATCTACATAAGGAAAAGGTCCATGAAAATTAGGAAATCCCTGTCTTGCCTGACTTCTGGCAAGCACTTGGGGTCAAGGTACCCAGGGCTGCAACAACCCTCACACCAAGATGTTGTCTTGGCATCTTCCCCATCCCTTTATATAACATTATATGTAAATTGTAATCACTGTATTTGCTTCATGGGAAACGACTTCCTTTTCCTATGAGAAAAAATTAGATACAAGTTTGTATAAAGTATCACAAGATAGAACAAGTTCTGTATGTATATCCACAAGAATCTTTCCATATTATAAATTCAACCTACAGCCAGAGGTTTCAAAAAGTTTGTTTATTCATAGTGTGAAACACAGGAAAACAATTTAAAGTCACCCTCTTCCCAATAAAAGTGCAAATGTCTTTGGACCTTAAAAGAGAAAGTAAATGGCATATTTTAACACTTTGGAATAGGCTGAAATTTTAAGCATTTTCTTTTTTTTTTTTTTTTTTTTTTGTTTGCAATAGCAGCAGAACAACATTCAGGTAAGTCTTTGGCCTTTTTTTTTTTTTAAAAAGAGACATTTTACTATGAGTTTTTACTGCCAAAGCAAAAAATATTAAACAGATTTGCTTTGTAACACTATGCACTTTTGAAAAATAAAAACAAAATAGACGGAATATATTAAGATGACTGAAATTAAGGTACATTAACTTCATGAGGACAGCAACTACGTTATATATTTTCTATCCCAAAGTGCCTTGCATCTAGCAGGCACTTAATAAATGGTGTTGAAAATCAAAACATGTTAAGTTTGCTTAAGAATATGTATCATTTTCAGATACTTATAAAGGGAAAGAAATGTGTATATGACTTAGTTGGTATTATCTTGATATATCTATAATCTTATTCTTCTCCAGTCCCCCCACCCCTACACCCGTGGCTAACAGGGTCATTATAACCTCCCCTTATAAGTGCTTTATACCTTTCTAAAACATAGGTATAAAAATATGTGGGTATGAAATTATAAACAGTAGTGTCTAAGTCACAAATATGCTTTTTAAAATAACAATAATGATGATGATAATACTGAGGATTTTTTCCACTTTCAATGTACATTGCAAATCAACATTAGCTATGCTAATCCTCATAAACCTCTCATGAGGTAGGGGTGCAACTATCCTCAGTTTATAGATAGGGAAGCTAAGGCAGACAGGCCCAAAGTCACAGAGGCACTTGCTCTTGAGATAAGAAGAGGAAAAAGAGCTTTGGGACCACATCTTATTAAGAGGCAAATTTCAACCTGATTGCAAAAGTGGCATTTTGAGAAGGCAGACTACCCCCTTCAGACTGCTAGGGGTGCCAGTGGATAAAATCTTGTTTCGGTGGAGTGGAGTCTAATAGCCAGAAAGAGTTAATATACTCATGAAGGGGATGGGGGAGAGATTGAAATTAAGCTGTGGGAAAGTGAGACATGTGGCCCATAGTCCTGGCTGTTTTTTCTGAGGTTCACTGCCATCAGATAAATCATTGCAAAGACACCAACTAGGACATTTTAAAAATACATATGGTGTGGGTTACCTGGAAAGTCTCCAAAACTAAGTGAGGCACCTGAGAGAATACCTAGATCACACCCAGACATCAAATCATTCCCTTTGTGGGATCTGGCTTCCTGTTTCCCAGGTGGCGTTCAGCCACCACCAGAAAGCGTGTGCGATCTGGATGGCCAAGTCCGATATGATAGAAGAGCTTGAGCCCACAGTCCCAAGGAAGGAAGTGCTATGAATTGACCCACACTTCCTTTGGTAAAGAATTTTGATTGGTATCCTAACAACTCAACTTTCAACAGTCATATTAGATAAATTATGTGAAAGTCCTATCTGTAGCTGTATTAATCTACTGGTTTAGCTTTACAATAAAGCTTAAATAAGATAATATAATACTTGGAATATTGCACTGTCAATATACAGGTAACATAACTACAATCTATAACCAAAAATACCAAGTCTCATATATTCAAGGAGTCGATCATTTAACATAATACATAGTTAAAATGAATTTCTCCTATCCAATTCTCTCTCACCCTGTCTTCTCCTATCTTCACATCAAGTTTTCACTCTTCTGACTCTCCTTACTTTGCCATCTTTTGATTCACTTTCCTAGTCCTTCCAATATTCTTTGCTCCCCTTCCTCATTTTCCCTTTCTTAGGCTCAAGTTTCATTTTACAAAAACACTCGTAGGACCCAATTCTACCCTCCCCAGAAGAATCCAGTACAGTTCCCATATGGGTCAGTGGAAGTTACCTTTCGGTGCCTCAGGCTAGAATGATTCATCTTCCCCCAATTTTCTTCTGGCACCAGCAACTCATGTAACTACTATGGCACCAGCAGAAAAATTAAAAAAACTCATTAGAGGTTTCCATGTATTTTATCTCCAGTAACAAACACACACCAAAAATATGTGTAAATTTTTTAAAAAAGAGAGAGAACTACCCTCTGGAGTGATCCACCATGTAGCTCTTTTAAGGGAATGGTGCCATAATAAAAAATAAACTTAAGTGCCCTAGGCAACCATCATCCCTTGCTTATATGCCATATTATTTTATGTGTACATAGTACATGTTTTGGGCTACTAAGCATTGACCAAAATTGATCTAAATCTCTAAGCTTTGGTTACCATGTACAAAGAACAATTGCTCAGCATGGCATATAAATAAGATATTTATGTTTAGAAAACACAAATACAATGCCCCATTAATTAAAAAAATAATAAAAATAATAACAAAACCTTGAGAATAGCCATGGCTTTAGATAGGATACCTGAAAATAACGCTGCTGCAGCAGCACATTACCAGATTTATGTTTTTTTTAAATAACATTTAAAAAAAAAAGAACCCATCACCACAGTTAGAAATTTTGATAAATTAACCTTCCAAAGTTTTATAGTTGCCCAAATTCTCCTATTTCCCTACCTGAAAGATACAAAACAAAATTGTACTAAATTAAGATGAAAATATTTTGAGGTCAGCTATTTTAAATTTAAAAGTTTCTGAACTGGCTGATGAGAATACTCTTTAGGTTGATTATATGAAATGTTGTTTTTTTTTTAAATACAGATAAAGGATATAATAACCTTAATATTTATTAAAAGAAGTTTATCTTAATGGTAAAGTTTAGATTCAAGACAGATTACTTTGGCAAATTCAGTACCTAATGATTAACACTGATATAAAAAAAAAAAGCTGGAATGGTTTTTGGTATAGAAACTAAAACTTTTCTATACTTTTATACAAACTGAGCTGTCTACCAAAAAATTAATTCCTCCAAGACACATTTCTAACTTGTTTTTCTAATGGTCCAGCCTATGCTTCAAAGGAAGCGAGTGTTCAGTGCAGCCCAGTCTGAGAAGTCCTCATGTGAGGTTATTACTTATAAATTATTAATCCAGAAACTTGAGAGAGGAGCCTCCTAAAGCAGCAAAGTTTGAGGAACTTCCTTAAGATTGTCCAAGCACTCAACAATGGTCCTATTCTTGACAGTTAGAACTTTGTTAATTCTTGGGATACTCATCCATTTATTTTAAAAACACATACATACATACATACAAATACACACACACACACACACACACAGAGCCAAAAACAAGCTAGGCCAAATCCAAAACCCTAGTTTGGAGCTGTAAAACTGTCATTTCAATCCCTGGGACAATTGATGATTTAAGCCTAATGCAAGTGGTAAAAATGTGACTGCACCTCAGTCAAAGCTAGAAATTTAGAGGCTTGTAAGGAAAGATTTCAGAAAAGATCAACAAAAGAAAAAGAACTCCAATGCTATGTAGGATCTACTTAGGAATGATTTATGCCTTGGTGGTAAGGGGAGGGTGAACAGCTGACAAAGGTTATTATTTCCCTCCTCACCTTTGTTTTCTGCATTTTCCCTTTACAGCCTCAGGAATAACCATCCTCAATAATCTATGCCCAAGATGTTGTACTGTATGGAAATGCAGCCCTTTTATGGAAACTTGGCAGTCTCTGAGAATACATGGTATTAAAATAATCCTTGTAGAATTGGCACAGCTTCCTTCAGGGCCCCTTCAGGCCCTAAGTTCAGAAGCAGCTTGGGTGGTGGCTGTGCAATGAAACACAGGTCATTCCAAAGTGGTAAGGGGGAGAAGGAAAAGATTAGCTTTGTATCAAGTAGCAAAGATTTGGTTTAATATGCCAAAGGAAAGGCCTAAGACATCTCTCTCTAATCTAGGCATTGATAAGTTTTATGATCTCATCAATGTTGCTGAAAAACATTTGTTGTTAACCATGGTCCATTGTGCTAACATTTTTCATTCCCTGGCTTCTTAAGAATATTAAGTAGGATACCAACTAATTTATATTGTTGTATAATTGGTCTGCAAAATGCCACACTTGGTAATAAAAATTACTATTAAAATTAAGGCGTTTATCAAAATAAAGTGCTATTTTCTCCTTAAAAGGTTTTTTCTCTAACAAATTCTCTATCACCCTTTGGCAAGTTGTGAAACAGAATGCTTTGAAATCTTGTCAAACATGTTCTTAATTGCACTGCTCACAGAGCACACTAATACTAATTTGTAGAATCCATAACTAAGTTACACAGTACATCATCCCCTCTTCTTCCAGCTATGGTTTATGATCCAGATTCATTTATGTAAGGCAAGTGAACTGGTGCTATGGGGCCTTGGATAAAAGATGGACTCCGCCTTCCCCAACTCCCCTTTTGACCAGACTCTCCCATTGCCTGGGTTCTAATAGGCTATTAAAAAGGAATCAACATTTGAACTCCCGGTTCCTAAGGTAGTGGCAGGAATGTATCTATCTCTGGTATGTATAGTGTAAAGAAGGCCAAGGCCAAATTCTGTGGGAGCTCCAAAAATATGAACCTACTCTGCAGCCCTGGGGTCTTAATGATTCATTCTTTCATTCATTCTAGCGACCCAAAGGTTGTGACGCACCCCCATTCCACCCCACAAAACAAGAGCATCTTATATTCATTCTCCTCCCCCACCCCCTCTCCCCATAAGACTGAGAGAAGGGCCTTACTAAGCTAGCAACTATCCTGCAGGTTCCCTTCTCGGGATATGTGGTCAGGCGAAGGCATTTTCCCAGTTTTAGGGATCGTGCTCCGGGAAAACTTGGACCCGCTGGTTCCGGGGCTGGGTGCTCCTGGCCAGATATCGGGGTCCTCCGTAGGGTCGGAGAAGCTGGGGCAGCCGGCGCCACGTGGACACCAGTCGCGCCGCCACGAACTCCCGGGCGCGCCCATCGAATGAGGCCAGGAGATCTACTGGGGCGGATTCGCGCAGCACTTTGGGCAGCTGGCCGATCTCAGCTGTGAGTCCGACGGCTCCGTCAGGGCCCAGAAAACAATGGAAAAGCGGACGGTGGCGGAGCAAGCAGTCCCTCAAGTAGAGCACCAGCTCCTCTAGCCTCTCTCTCAAGTGGACCTCTTCCCAACAATGCAAAGGATCCCCTCGAAGCAGCAGAGTCAGAAGCGAGGTCTTTAGCGTATAAGATGAGAGGATGCGCCCCCACTGGGATGAGGCCACAGGGTCCAGTCCTCGCGCGCCCAGATCCCTCAGTGCCTTTAGCAACTGTAGGCATTTAAGGTGACAGGCCCCGGGTGGGGCTCGTTCTTGCAGCCAGCCCAGCAGCCGCTGCTCCTGGCGAGCTGTGTTCAGTCCCCACAGCGCCTCGACCCTCAGCCCTCCAGGGAGCTCCGACGGGAGCCCAGGGGGAGGCAGTGGCAGTGGTGGTGCCACTAGGAAGACTCCATCTCCCAAGTGTACAGCAGGGATAAGGCGCACAGCCATGGAGAGCCGGCAGCAGCCATAGTCGGTGCGGCAAGGCAGAATGTGCAGGGTGGGAGGCTGGTCGAGGCCCCCAGGAGATAGGCTGACCCGGCAGCGCTCCTCCAAGCTGTACCGCACTGTGGCAAGGCATCGCTGCAAATGCGCCTGGAACCAACGCGACACTAGCGCTGCAGAGAGGTGGCGCCGGCCACGAAGGTCCACGCAGAAGCCGTCGGAGAAGGGTTTGGAGTCCCGGTGCCACTGGCTTCCTGCCCCACCAGAGGGTGAAGACGGTGGGGCCTTGAGGGCGCATACGAAGCAGCCACGAAGCGCCAGGGGCAACTCAGGCTCCGAGCCCAGGCCTCGAGGTTCCAGCGCCACAAGAGGTGGGAGGCGTAAGGGAACCAGAACATCGAAGCCATCCGGCCGACGGATCTTGTGCTGCTCGTAGGCGCTGCCCACCTGGACGAAGTCCCCCCGAAAAGCCAGAGCTAAGGCTCCTCCGGGAGAAGGACCTGGAGATCCCCTGGCCCGGCCGGCACGGACCAGTTCGCCTACGATGCGACTCACGTGCGCTTTGCTGTGGCCCAGCACATGAGGGGACAGGCGAACTTCGTGCTCATAGTAACTCTCCAGTAAAACACTGAGGCCCGGCTCATTGAGAAGTCTCGAAGACGACGGGGTGAGCCCCTGGTGGGGAACGCGAGGCAGGAAGCGTTGCCGGGCTGCGTGGCGAAAACGCAGAAGGAGGTAGCCCAAGAGCAGCAAGAGAATCGCTTTGAGCAGCGGGAAGCCAGCGTCCTCGCTGTCCTGGGGAGCGGCGGAGCCGCCCCTTCCGCTCAAGACGTGGTAGAGGCAGACCAGGGCAGTGCAGAAGCCGGTCACCAGCGGCCAAAAGACGCGCAGGTTGAGGGTGTAGTGCACCGACATGCTGGGCGCCCGGGGCAACGTCCGGTGATGGTCAGCCCATGGTCTGGACCTCCGCGACCGCGACGGTGGCTCCCCCTTCTCCGCCCCCGCATACACGCAGCAGCTCGAGCCCTGCCCTGACTTCCTGGGGCCAGCTTAGCCCTTAGCTGGTTTCTGGAAGTCAAGCCTCCCCTTCTCGATCAGTCCCGGCTCCCGCACCTCCTCTGGCTCCCGGGCTCTCTTCTGTCCCTTCTCCCAGCTCAAGTTCTCTTTCCAGCTTCGGTTTCGGCTCTGCCCCGCCCCGTCCTCCAGCGTACGCCTCTGGTCCGGGCCTTTCTGCAGCTCCTGTCCCGTCTCGGGCTCCGGGCTTCTTCCCAACTCAGCTCCTCTCCCGACCCTGCTTCCAGGAGTAGTCCCTCGTGCCAGCAGCTGTCCCGGACCCTCGCTTGTTTGCTGTAGTCCTAACCTCTCCAGTTCCGCGCTTCTTTCCGTTCACTGCCCTGCCGAGTTCGAAGCCTTCGCCCTCCTCTTACCGCCCCTGCCAAGGCTCAGGTCGGCCAGCTGTCGGGTCAGTAGGTCGACGGTCCAGCCTCTGGCACCGCTAGAGGTGGGCTCCAGAGGTTCAGGCCCTGGCTTTCCCCGATCCCGTTACTTCGACCGCGAAGTTTCCTCTTCCGAGGAGAGAAAGGGCCGAGCCAGAGAGTGAAGAGGAAATGCCGATGTCTAGGAGCCGAGCTGGGAGCGGGCGGGGTCGGCCCCCTCCCCTGGGGCCGCCTCCTTAAAGCAACACGAGGCCGAAGCGGACCGGGAAGTTAGGCAAAACTGGGCCAGAAACTTGGTTCTTTGCAACCAGGTGCTGAAAATAACAGAAATGCAAGACTTGGAAACATGAAAGAGAACTTGCCGAGGCAGGCACACACTATGCAAGCTTTGGCCCCGGGCAGTTACTGCACTAGGGGAACTGCTGATAAATAAACAGCCAAAATGAAAAGTGGAGAGTATAGGGAAATTAAAAACCCACCTAAGCTATAATCCCCAAATGTTCTAGGCTCTTGCTAACAGGCTGGGGTGGTGAGGTGCAGTTGTCAAATACATATGACCTACCTTCCTATCTTCCTTCCTAACTTCTTTTTTACCCTTCTACTTTCTATGTATGTTTGTGTGTATGTATATGTAATGGATAATATATAATATAAAATGGATGGGGGGGAAGGTTTCTCCTCTAGGAATAGACCTACTAGATATACTGGTTTGCAGGAAATACCTCCTGTTATAGACCCCCTTATTTTCTTTTCTATCTTTTTTAAACCAAGAAAACCCATTTGTCCAAATCATAGCAGAACAGAAATCAGAGACATTATCCATAAGAGAATACATACCAGACAATACAGAGTGCAGTTCTCCCGTTGGGAGAGAGACAATTCAGTTCAACCAAGAAAGAGTGTCCTGGATCTCACTGAAGGGGGAAACTCCCTGAAGTCTCTAGAATAACAAGCTGGGGATGGGGTGTGATGGACACTCTCAGCTCCTGTCATGTGTTCCCAGAATCTTTTCTTTCAAGAAACCTGAAGTAGACCCCTTTATTCTAGTTTCATTCTATCTCTAGATTTGCCTCAAGGCAATAGGAAACAGCTCCAGATTGCCAGAGCTCACTCCTTCCCCCATGGCCTGGGGAGTGAAGACACAGTTCTATTCTGGTACTGCCGCTAACTGGCTGTATGACTCTGGGCAAGTCAGCTACTTTAAGCCTCAGTTTACTCATCTCTAAAATGAGCATGTTGGATGACTTTAGGGTCCCTCAAGTACTAACATTCTATTGTAATGGCCCCCCAGATTTTATATCGAGAATTAGAATTTTGAATTTAAAGAGAAATTACAAATTAGCATTCAATTTTTATAATTATGCAGCTGCAAATAAATCTAGTATTTTTATTCAGGAACCATCCTGTGAATCAGCAAATCCCATGAATGTGTTCTAGTTCCCGGATGAGAGTTGGCCCCTAATGCTGTCCATTGCTACCTCTCCTTGCTCCTCTCTGATGGTATGTTGGAGTAAGGGAGATGTGAAGTTGTTACAGAATCCCCCTCAACCTGTCCCTGTAGGGAAACATTGTACAAGTGATTCATTATAGCTGACCCCCATAGATTCAGCAAACCTTTCAGGGAAACCACAGAGGATATAAGAAAAAGTGGGAAAAAACCATCTATAGCAAGCAACACTACTACTAATAGCTAGCATTTATATAACTCTAAAAATCCTCAAAACAAGCCTTTGAGGGTGGTGAAATTATTATCCCTGTTTACAGATGAGGATACTGAGTCTTGAGAGAGATTAAATGACTAGCCCAGATAGAAATGTCTGAGTAAGAATACAAACTGAGCTCTTCCTGATTCCAAGTACAGTTTTCTGTTCACTTCACCAAATGAACACCTCTTTGGGGGATGAAAAAGAAGTCTACAGTGCTATCCCTGCCTAGAGAAACTTGCAGTGTTGTGGAGATATCCCTAGTACTTCTCCTTCAAGAATGTACAATTTCAACAACGTGAGTCCTCCCACTATAACTTAGTAGATGGTCTCTTAGGATTGTGGCCAAAAAAACTTCATCACCCCACAGACAGCCTGGTAGTGAGGTAGACTGGTACTACAGCCACTTCCTGGCTCCCATTTAAATCAATTGCAGCTTGGTAGGACTTTCCAAAAGCCAAAGACTCTACAACATGATGAGGCATCCATATAGGACTTTGTTGGGAAGAAGCACCCAAAAGCCCACATATTGCAGTATTAAAATACTGAAATTAATACAATAAAGTGCCAAGATATATAGAGTGGATGTTATGGACAGTACTTGAAAGGGTAAATATCTAGCTGAGGTAACTAGGGGGCTCAATGGATCTATCTATCTATCTATCTATCTATCTATCTATCTATCTATCTATCTAGGGCTAGATAGGCCTAGAGTAAGAAAGGTCTGAGTTCAAATCCAGACTCAGATTCTTACTAGCTCTGTGACTTGGGCAAGTCACGTAACCTCCATTTGCCTCAGTTTCTTCATCTGTGAAATGGAGATAATAATATTACCTACTTCCTAAGGTGGTTGTGAGGATCAAATAACATAATGTTTGTAAAGCCCTCTGGTACATAGTAGGCACTTAACAAATGCCCCTGTCTTCTCCTTTCCTCTCCTCTTCTCCCCTCACCTCTCTTCTCCTTCCTTCCTACCATACATCCTTTCTATCTTCCATCCTTCCTTCTTACCTTCTCCCTTCCTTCCTTCTTTCCATATTGATTAAGTTTGGGAGCAATATTTCATAGAGGAGGTAAGATTTAATAATAATAATAGCATTTATATAGCAAATATGAATATACAAATATACAAATATTGACTAATTTCATCCTCATAGCAACACCTTGGAGGTAGTTGCTATTATTATCCCCATTTTACAGATGGGGAAACTGAAATTGATAGAGGTTAAATGACCTGCCCAGGGTTACACAGCTAGTAAATATCTGAGACTGAATTTGAACTCATGCTGTCCTGATTCTGTGTCCATTGCTCTATGCACTTTGTCCCAGTGCCTTAAGGTGACCCCTGAGAGGTAGGATATAAATAAGCAGAGGGGAAGGCATTCTTGGGGGAGAGCCAACATTACCTTAGCATAGGTAAGGAACAGTGCGCAGGTCAGAGCTCTGATACAGTGAAGTATGTGTGTCCTGGAACTATGAATAAGTAGATATGTTAAGATGGGACTGGAATAGGACTTTGAATGCCAGTATTCTGGTTGTTGATCTGAGGAGTGCTATTCAAAACACAAATGTTTCAACTCTAGGGAATGAGCACTTTGTTCACTCTCCTTAACCTAAGGTGGTAGGCTCTGTTTTCCACTTGTAAAAATAAACTATTAGAGCTAGAGGCAGCTAGGTGTAGGATTAGATGTTTTCAGCATAAACTCTCCAATATTAGACTCTCCAGCATGTATGCAAATTCCCAGAATTGTCCTAGTCTGGGAGAATGAGGGAGACACAGTATGTCCTGAACCATATGGCACAATAATAGCAGCTCACATTTGTAAAAGCAAGGTTTGCAAAGCAATTTTACATACATTATCTCAGTTGATTGTTACAACAACCTACCTCAATATATGGTTACCCCCATTTTATAGATGAGAAAACAGGCTTGGAAAGATTAAGTAAAATGCCTAGGGTCACATAGCTTGTAAATATCAAGGATTCAAAATCAGGTCTTCCTGAATCTAAATCCAGAGAAATTCCCCAGTTTGGTCCCAGCCTCTTGGGTTTTGATTACTTTTGTTTGTTTGTTTTTGGTACCTTTTGTTGTTGTTTTAAAGGAATTTTTAAAAACCAAACTTTTCACATGTATGGTACGTAGTTCTACTTTAATAACCTCCCATAAAGACCTGTTGGTCTAGCCTTGTACCACTTCAGAGAAAAGCAAACCCATACCGGATTACAGACTGTCACTGGAAAATACTTCCCCCTGGTTTGTACTCTGTCTCGAGGCCTTTATTCATTTAAGAGTCACACAATGCAGGAAATGGAGAACTTTAGTCTCATAGAGGTGAAGCAATAGAAAGGGGCTAATGAGTATGTAATGCAATTGTGTGCCCATAAAATGATCCAATATTCAGCTGAAGCCCTTGAAAATTATAATATAAACCTAACACAGAGATTAATAAACGGATTTTTTTCGTCTACATTAGGTTCCACTGAATGCTCAGATCACAGATCCTTATGAACGTCATCATCACTAGGAAGATTGCTGAGATATTTTCCATACTTGCTAGTGAATAATTTATTTTGGTTATACAGTTCATGGGGCCAAACTTGGGAGTTTTAGAAACCCAGACTTGAACAGTGTATTATACAGCCATCCCATATTAACAGACAACACTAGAGATGTAATTTTTTTTCTCTTCAGTTTTATCTTCAGAATATTTGCTTTGCCCAGCTGGGCTCTTGTGGGTCCCTTAGTCAGTTGTACTTAAAATAAAGAGCAGTACCTTACCTTGATCCCTGTGATTATGTGTCTACAGACACAGTCATGATGGGATTATGACCAGCCAAAAACAGTTCTGCCCAGGACCAGTTTCAGGTTATAATCACACTCTGACTTTTTCACTTGGGGGCGTGTAGGGAGTGGGGTTTAGGGGATGGGTTCTCTTTGTGCAAAGAAAGAAATCACTGCTATCTCCATGAGACTCAAGAAGATCACTAGACAATGGGTGTTTTGATCCCCAAAAGGAGGAGCACTTTGACTAAGTTACTGTGATTTCCTTCTAGCCAAAGAGACTCAGATTTACTCGTTTTCCTGAAGGGGAAAAAAAAAGAGACTTGCCAGGTAAATTGGCATGCTCAGCATTGAGAATGCAGCAACCACAAGAAGAGAATGGAGAACTCAGTACGTTGCTTTGAGCTGTCAAACTTTTCCCCCTTTCTTAATGTTGTGTTCACTGGCTCAGGGTAGGGATGCTTAGGATGAGACAAGCTTAGCAATTTCCTCACCTATTTGTGATGATCTCATCTTGCTCAAAACTTCTACTGCTTTTTCTTTGTACCTCTCTTATTGCAGTTATCAGATTCTGCTTTGTTCGATATAGTTCTTTGATCCTAGAGACCAAACCTATCTCAGAATCATGCAATTTCAGAGTTAGAGGGATATCAGAGGCCATCTAATCCAATGTGTACCTTAAAAAA